TATCACTCACCCTTCGATATTTTCTTTCAATTATTCATCCCTTTGTCGTACACACAGCCTATCTGTCGCCGCACCACGCAGCCCCCGTAGCCGCTGAATCTTCTCACAAGCATCATCGCTATGGCTCAGTGAATGCACAGTCTGTCCGACAGTCGTTCGAAGATGAGTCAAAAGTCACACTGTGAGGAGAGATATCTAAAAAATAAGAAACATTTATTTGATGCGTAATAACATATTTACTTGTACTCTAATATACACATTTTTATATTGAGAAGAAAAAAATTTCTTTCACAAATGAGAAAAAATATATTTTCTTGAAATACTATTGCTTTTTATGAAAGCAATTGCTCTTATTCTATTTAAACAAAAGAATTTTAAAAAATTTAGATTTAAAATGTTTAATATGTTATTAGTACCTATTGAATAAATATTCCTTAATTTCCAGATACTTTTTCTCTCGATACGATCTTTCTCCTTCAAAAGAGAGCAAGAAAGTACGAAATTTCTTGCGAAAAAATACGGAAATTGACGAATAGAATTGACGAAGATTTTCCAGGCTACTTCGAAGCCTGCTCGCAGCTCGTTCGATTATCCGGTAGTCGTGATCCCGCGGTTCAGTCAGCGAGAATTCATTAACGAGGAAACAAATTCCTCTGGCGGGCGCTCCTCGGCGGCTACGCACTCGACGAGCGCCGTAATGACTGCGTGCCGGGTGTCAATATCGCTGTTTAATTTGAAAGACGTCCTTGTCGGATTCCCAGCCTCTGTACTCACTGTGCATACGCGCGTTACACAATTTCCTTCTGAATAATTAATAGGCTCGTCAGTGGAACTCTCTGCAGCGCTAGCTCTCGCACCGCCACACTCTGTGTGTAGTAACAGCCAACGAGGGCGACTTTGAATGGACCCCATTCATTTGAGTCGAATTAGACGATATACTCTTTCGTTGCGTTGCGATGTACGTTAGTTTGGCGCTTGCGACTATAGTTACACGCCCATCCAACAGACGCCTCGTGCGGGCACACACATATTTATATATATTTATATATAAGTATTATAGACTTATAGATGTAGCTGTTTTATTTATATCTTATTTTGCCGCACATACACACACACACACATACACATACAGAGTGTTTGACGATAATATATAAAATTCTCATGTAGATTAGATCAAATTGAACGAAAGATTCTCCTATCACTTTGCGAATAGCCATGGAAAATTTTCAGTTATTCATTAACCTTACAGTCGTCGCGCTACTTTTCGAACACGAGTCGACGCCTGGGATTTTGAGAGACCCCAATATAAAAAATTATTTTATATCTTTTATGCTGGGAACTTAAATATTTTCTCTGTTTAATTAGGTTTTTGGGGTTCATGTAAAATATAAGAAAAGACTATTTTGGATATAATATTCTCTTAAAGGTCCCATGCGATGACTGTAGGGTTAAAGAAGATCAGTGATTATTCGCTAAAATCTTCTTTTGGCTGACAACTCAAAATTTTACGTGGTTGTTCGCAAAATGATAGAGGAACTTTTTGTTCAGCTTGATCTCATTTACACATATACGAGAGTTTTGTATCGTCAGGCACCTGTATATATACATGCACACACACACACACATACACACGCGCGCGCTCACACTCCTACACACATACCTCGTACTACGCTCATTGTCGTAACGTCTCATTGTCTTATCCGATTACATTGTGTGAATAATTACATCTACGCACAATAATCCAGTGTCGACGCGGCGTAGTGTGTCACCAAGTTACACTCGTCTCGCTTCAGAAGGAACATTCGTCGCAGCTAATGATGCCACGTTATTAATGCGCGTGCGACACGCGCGCGTTGTCCGGACTTGACTCTTAACAAAACTCTCCACAGACTCGCCGTAATCTTCGACGTCATAGCGCTTGTCACGATCTACTCGAGAATTGTGCTTCCTCGCTTCCGCAACTCTCTAAAACTCGTAGTGCTAGATTGAATGAAATTCTTCGCGTCGATCTATCCGCGTGCGTCGTGATTGAAATCAATCTTAAAGTACTGAGATTTATTGTCATGCTATTCACACTTGTTGCGATTTTCGTGAATTTTTCTGTATAAATTTGAGACATTTTCTTTCATCTTTTTTTGTGCTACAAAATCGACCGCGAAATCTTCCGACACTGCAATGTGTACAACAAATACAAGTCACTTTTATATCACCATGTGTCGTAAAATCACTGTAAATCGCTGTAGAGATTTGAGAGCCGAGGATGATGTCCCCATTTTATTTTCATTTTTTGTAAATCTTGGACAGCGCATTTATATATATTTTTTTTTATACGTAAGATATATAGATTTGGACTGCGTGTCTTTTTCTGAGCATCCCGATGCAAATACTTTTTTCTTCTCTGCAACACTGTCTCGTATCGCGGCGCCTCGTATTGTCGCATGAGCCCAGTCATATAACCCGTTACCCTAAATCTCTTCAGCTTCCTGGTTTCCTTCTTGGTGGACGCGAGAGGCGGTGCAATGCGCGGATGCAGGCACAGCGGCGTCCGCGTGATTGTCCCACCGCGCAAAGCTGCGATGCCTATGCGTGTCACATGCAGATACTTGAGGAGGGACAAATTGACGAATCCACCACCCTTGATGGAAGGGGAGGCGTTGGCCAGCCGCATCCTCGAGCTGGGGCCCGTGGGTGCAAAATTCTTAGGGTATGTCTCGCGTATCCTTCGCAATTCATTTTCTTCGCGTTCACGAACGAACGATTACGCTTATAATAAGAACGTGAGGTAACACAGGAGTTGCCTTAATTGACAGATTCACCTTAATTGACTTCATTAATTTTGACTTTACAGCCCTGTTATCATAGAGGTACCACACTTCGCGTCGCTGCGCGGAAAGGAGCGGGAGATAGTGATTCTTCGATCAGACAACGGGGAGACCTGGCGCGAGCACACTTTGGAAGCCAGCGAGGAGGCTGTCCAAGATGTGCTTAACGAGAGCTTTGAGGGAGAAGGTGCGATCTCGAACGATTTCTGCCGCAACTTTCAAACGCGCACAGTCTTGTCGGAGCCACGCGAATAATGTATCGAAATTTCCAGAGCTAAGCCAGCTGGAGGATCTCCAAACGTCTCGCATCGTTAGGATACTCACCGTAGATTTTCCACATTACTTTGCGGTGGTATCTCGCATCAGACAAGAGGTCCATGCGGTTGGTCCCGAAGGCGGCACCGTGTCGTCGTCCGCCGTGCCACAAGTACAAGCTGTCTTCCCGCAAGCGGCCCTCACCAAGAAGATCAGAGTCGGTCTGCAGGTATCTCTTCAATTTTCTCTCACCGCCGACGCTCCCGATTTCGTATCACAGTCTCATTAATTCATTTCATAAATTACTCACATTTAATGAATTCATTCAGTTCAATTCAACTTAATTTATTTAATGAATTAATTCATTCAATTACGACGCGATACTTTACATCTTGATGGCATTCTTATTTGTTTAATCTGGTATACTAGTTTCTTCTGCGATTTATTTGATTGTAGTTAATTCAATACTTTTTTGTTTTAAACAAAAAATCTTATTATTTAGTAATAATTATATTGTGGTTATTAGTTATTAGCTATTATTGTTATTATTAGTTAATTAGTTTATCTGCCACATTAGATAAAGTTAATTATTATTACTATGTGCAGGCACACCCGATACCTGCGGATCTCGTCGCTAAGTTACTCGGGAACAGAGTGGCGGTGTCGCCGATCGTTACTGTCGAGCCGAGACGAAGAAAGTTCCACAAGCCGATAACCTTAACTATCCCGGTGCCACAGGCGGCCAATAAAGGCATGATCAACCAATACTCCGGGGACGCGCCAACTTTGAGACTCCTGTGCAGCATAACTGGTAATATATGCTTGCACGTAACATTGTAGAGCAGCGTACCGTCTTACTGGAAAATCTCTTACCGATAGACGGCAGAAACTAACATCTATAAGCCGCATATACATATATATATATATATATATATATATATATATATATATTTATTTATTTATTTATTCATTTACATACGTCTCTTCGGTGTACATATACATGTTCTCGTTGCCGAATTGCCGTAATTGCGCATTCGAGTGTCGAACTTTGTAGTTTAGCAGGCATGAACACAGACGGTAGGCTATTCTCGAGCGTTCTCTCAGGTCGTCGGGACTGCCAACGATGATATTGTACGTTGCACGCGAAGAAGTGGTGATGGTGGTGATTGCTTTAATGGTAGTAGAGCACTCTTGCAACTCTCGTGTTTATATGTGCGGTATGTGCGGCGAACGGTCCGAACGAATCCTCGTGGTGGTTTGCACCAGCAGTGTGTTATAACGATGTAACGGGCAGTCAATGCGACGCCCTCACTTTGGACTCGGAGGACGATCGATTCCACGTGTGTATCAGTGTCGATTAATACGCGTCGTGTTTGTGTTTACTTTTTTCTTTCTCGTCGTAAATGACTCGCGCGCCACGCAACATGACACGCGTATTTACACCCGTGGAACGTCCCGAGGACCTTCGGATAGAGATTTAAAAGGGAGATGGTAGCTGCATGTCTCATAGAAAACATTTCGTTGAGTATCATTATTGTATACATATCTTGTTGTGATTCATTGTTAATGCTTGCATATTGTTAGGATTGAGTCATTTAGGTATGGATTATCAATTAAAGTAGATAACATTTTTTACTACCTAGCCCATTGTGAGCGTTAACTTGCCAAGTTTTTGTTTCAGCACATTCCGTTTGACTGGTAATCGCTTCAGTCTGTATATTAGTGAATAGCCATTTACATGAAATTGTGCTCATGAGATATGTGTATCTTAGGTTGTCATATAACAATATGATATCCAATTGTGATATCAAATAGTTCGGAAGGATTTGTGCGTCGATTGCAACGATATCACATACACACTAGATATTCTTGCTGAAATTTATCCTCAAAGTTACAGCATCTAACTCGCGACATTTTACTCTCGATGCAACATATGCGTAAAATCTTTACTTCCAGCTCGAATTACACACACACATATACAGTTACTTGTATATTCGATTCTTCAGATCGGTCTTGTGAAAATTTACACATTTCCTCTCACACATATGACGACACCATATGCTGATGACAACAACAGACGCACACCTGAGCGTAATTCGATCAATAGTCTCGTGATTTTGTATCTTTCGTTTGTCGCTTAACTGTCATCTTCTATTTCCACACACTCACGACTGCCTTTTACACGACGCCGGATAACGCTTCTTCTTTGTTTTGCAAGCATTACCATTCTCGGTCTTTCTCTCTCTCTCTCTCTCTTTCTCTCTCGGCCATGCGTCTACTTTTTACTTATTATTACACCGATAAAAAGCACCTGACGTCAGCGCACAGTTACAGCGACCGTTTTTAAATACGACACCTTCTCGGACTTGTTATTGTCGATTGTTAATCTTTCAAGAACCATTACTTTGCGGTAAGCATTCATTCACGTCCGACTTGTCAATTGTTCGTATTTAATTCCGGTCATGCGAGATCATTAAAATACTCTACACACAACACATACACACACACACACACAACACACACACATACACATATATTTCTCTCTTGCCATTTACGCGTTTGCAACACGGACATATTTTAATAATGTTATTGGACTTGGCATGTATGTCGTTCAGGGGGTCAGACTCGGGCAGTCTGGGAGGACGTCACAGGCTCGACGCCACTGACCTTCGTGAAAGATTGCGTTTCCTTCACTACTACAGTCTCCGCTCGCTTCTGGCTGATGGATTGCCGTAACATTTCCGAAGCCACGAAAATGGCCACGGAACTATACACGCACGCGACTCACGTGCCGTTCATGGCCAAGTACGTATTCTCCGATGATGTGACCAATGCGCCCTTCAAATTACTAAACGCAGATGCAGACCAGAACGCAGAGGTGACATGTCCCTTTTAACGAGCTCTTTTCCTTTCCCGCAGGTTCGTGGTGTTCGCGAAACGAGTGGATCCAATGGAGGCGAGACTACGCGTGTTCTGTATGACGGACGATAAAGAGGACAAGACTCTGGAGCACCAGGAGCACTTTACAGAAGTCGCCAAGAGCAGAGACGTTGAGGTAATTTAGTATTTTTTTGCAACGTTTAGTAAAACTTTCTATGAGGTTGGTGCAAAAAGTTCGTCGTGATTGTCAGATAAAATAAAAGACGAAATTATCCGATTATTGAAAGATCGAACGAGAACTTCCTATTTTCCTTTCGATATCCAAACTTTCTATAAGAATCGAAAAAAATGACAAATCTTTTGCACAAATCGTTGAAAACGTAATTACATAAGAGTAATTATTAACGTAATTATTCGACATGATTGTTACGGATATTTTATGTCAAAGCGACTGTGAACTTCGCATGAGGTGTATCGCAAATGTTCAAGAGGTCGTAAAATCTTGCCGTAGGTTCTGGAAGGGAAAACGCAGTACATGGAATTCACGGGCAATCTTGTTCCTGTGCTGAAGACTGGCGAGCAGCTTCAACTGCCGTTCCGAGCCTTCAAGGAGAACAGAGTTCCGTTTACCGCGAGGATAAAGGATCCGGACGCCGCGGACATGATGGGTCGCATCATGTTCATGAGCGAGCCGAAGGTGCCGCGGGGTGAGCTGCCGCAAACACCGATCTGCACACTGAATATCCTGCTGCCGGAGAAGATCTCGCCGGACACCGCGGTCTCCGAGCTCGACCTACTCGAGCTGTCGAAGAACTACAGCTTCCTGCGCGACGGCGGAATAAGTAAGCAGCAAGAACATTACTTTGAGCTCAAATTACACACCATTGTTCGACACATTCAATTCTTCAGATCTCGTGAAAATTTACATATTTCTTTTCCCACATAAAAAGGCTATATACTGATAACGACAACGGATGCCTACTTGGACGTAATTTGATTAAGTTTCTCGTGTTTCTTGTAACTTTTGTTTCTCACTTAAGCATTATCTTCTATTCCCACATACCTACGACCGCCTGTTACACAATTCGGAAAGCGATTACGCCCGGATTATTACGTTATGGGGATTCTTATCTCACACGTCACGTCACGTATGTTCCCTTTTCAGGCAGACCAGACGCTATCCACAGAGCAACTATCCGTCTGACCGACATCGCCAATCTGTTGAATACGGATTGGGAACAGTTGGCGGAAGAGTTGAACATACCGCCCAACGATGTGGCTCTAATCAAGCAAGAGTATCCCGATAAACCCGCGCAGCAGGCCGCGGCGATGTTCAAGATCTGGCAGAACAACGGAAACAAAGCCACGGGTGAGTACTACGACGGATTACGCAACTCATCTCGCGTCTGTATTGCGTACACTAACGTACCAGGCGGAAGTATCGGCCGAATTTTCGGTAAATGAGACGACCGAGACGACCGCTAATTGCCTCTCGGTAACATTTAAAAAAAGGAACTCATTCCCCTCGACAAGGTCAATTAATCGGACGCGCGCGCTATAGTTGAGTCACACGCGAGGAATCTCAACCTAGCTACGTAGATGATGATCTCATTGTGCATTATTATGCCTGACATAAGTCTATACAGTCCGCTCCCTCTCCTTCCTGCTAATGGCATTGCCTCGCGGCAGTTTCTGCAATCGGCAGAAATAACAAGCAGTCAGTGGCATAGTACGTGATCGGCGGCCGAGCGGCGAAAGTGATTAAGATATAAGTGTCTTCTTTCGTGCCGCGACGACGTGCTTCTACTTAATCGAGCCGATTTTTGCGAGTCGTCTAATAGCCGAGTGACCGTCGAAATTGAAGGCACTTGTACTTTCTTCGCGAGTGCTAACTTGTTTTTTTTTAGTTTCTTTTTACTTTTCTTTACTAGGACTCGAGTGTTTTACAACAGTTTGAGTTCCTTAAGAAGTTTACGGTTCGTAAGGTAGACTTTAGTTTAGTTTAGCTTGGATAGTTTAGTTTAGCTTGAAAATAGAAAATAAAAATACAAAAAGCAATGTTCATATCTCTGTATCAAGAATACGAGAGACAGAATCATTACACGAGCGAGCTCCTGTTAATATTTCGGAGATGTCCTTGCCCGCGGCCACGGTGCTTGCAGAATTATTCAGGTTTGTGCGAAACAAGCGCGAGCATAAACCGCGGATATTGACGATATAAATGACTGGGAATATGTTATTTCTATATGTTGTATCTGTGTAACTCTCATTGAAACTTGAAAATTGCTTTAAAAAATGCGCAAGATTAACATATCGTATTGTTCTTCTGATTGACAGGAAATACGTTAGAAAAGGCGCTCAATAAGATCGGTCGTGAAGATATAGTAAACAAATGTATTTTCAACGTCGAGTTAGTGACGGACGACGTGGAGAAGGCTGTCGCGAGAGTCAGATTAGATCAGCCTGGCTTTGACTCATTGAAAGAGGAATTGGGACCGTCGAGAAACACGTCGCTCCGTCGTGATGCTACGATGGACCCTAAGATGGACCCTGATTATGAGGAGCCTGACAGAATGAAGGTACATGTTTTATACAAGTCTACAAAATTTTACGCGCTATGTGAAGCTATGCACAGCTCAACTAAATACCTATCAAATTCATTTTGTGACAAAGTGTTTGGAAAGAAATTTCCCTTTTTTTTTATTAGTTTCTATTTAACGAGAATTATCATAGAGCATGCTTAAATGCGTATTGAGGATAAAATGAGAAAAATACGATTCATCTCAACACGATATCTCACGATAACTTTTTTATGTGGCTGTAAGAGCCAGAAGCTCCCCCACTTTCATGCGCAGCAGCAATTTACTCGAGTAACTGCGTTTCGACGAGCGTGGGACTCTTGTAATTCTCGATTCTTTTCATTCCAGGACTCTGAATCGGTCGAGGATCTCAGTATCACTGGCAGCGTACACGACAAGCGAAGTAAGTACAACAGCTACGGCTCCGCGTTTAAGTTTTTTTTGTTTTTATATTATTACTCGCTCTTGCATTGCGCTCTTATATACACACAATTCGTCAGAGTTGAATAATTTCAAAATTACATTTTCTCTTTCCCTTACTCTTACTGTACTTCTCAATGAGAATGTGACATCATGGCTCGTAATATTTGAATGAGTGATACACGCCAAGCCACACAATGCGCTACACTAGTAAGCAAATTGTGTGGACGCACACGGACACACACATATACACGAAAACCGTGCACCTTACTCGCGCTTACCTAGAAAAACACGTTAGCTGTACGCTTGGTGTACAATATTTTTACACAACGACCACATTCTCCTTCCCAGCATTCGTCTTACATTTCATACGATACAAATTTGTCTCTCATCGTGTTCGTCGTCATCCTCGCTATTATCATCATCATCATCATCATCATCATCATCATCATCATTATCATCACTATTGTTGTCGTCGTCGTTATTATTATCAGCATTTCATGTTCTCTGTTTCGTGTATCGTCGCTAGTCGTTTACACATTTTCTGCACTTCACAGCCAAACAGCACGTCACAATCACAAACGGCACTGTATTCAACGGAACCTCGACCCCCATCAAAGACAAATACGCGAGCGACGAGAAAGAGCTCGGCGACATGATGGCCGATTACCTTACGCACAAGTGTCACGTGGCCGACACGATGAGCAAAAAGTCGCGCGACGAACTGGACGATCCGGAGAAAAAACGGGAGAAAGTGATCGCAGACGCCAACAAGATAGTCTCTGGTAAGTGACACGAGTGCGCTTACGCGGTAATGGAATGGTGGGTTGAGGGGCCGTGCTTCACTCTGCTGGCAGAGCAGGCAGCCGTTTAATCGATCCTAAGCGCGGAGCTACGTCGCCAAAGTAAAAGCAATTAATAATATTAATAATAATTACCGTCATAATATTAATAATGATCAAAACAGAACATGCCGGGACTACTACGCATTTGTTTTCGGGTTTTCGGCAGCATGACTGAATATATTATAATGCTGCGGGCGCACGCTTCAGCCTAAAGGAGATCGATTATATTACTCGTATTAACCATCCGTCGACGAACTGTCGCGTTTCGCCGGCGCGCTATCATAGGACTCGCTATAATCGCAGGCGATTACTCACACCTCTCCCTCCCGGTGATATCGTGTTCATAGTTATGAGGCTCTACTCGTCTCCACGAAAGGGGATCTCTCGGACGAACGCTTCGGGACTGTAGAGTTCCACTTCCTTCTCTTCTCGAAGCTTGGCGCATTTGTTCGCGTTTAAACGTTATTTTTGTCTTCTCCAATACAATGAAGAACATATTTCTCGTATTGCATTATTGTAGATTACTTACGTAACTGTTTGAGAAACAGTAAGTGCCGCCGTGTTGGACTGCCGTGTCACGGACGGCGAAATAAACGCACGTACAGTGAATTGTTTAACGCAATTTTTAATAAGATTATTTTGACAAATGATTTATGAAATGCGAAAGCTCTCAGAAAGACATACATCTCAATGCCGATCTCTGTCACTGATATTAAATTTAACAACGTGATTACATTATTTAATAACGTGAAATTGAAGTAACTCATATTACCGTCGTCGTGCGCAGAGAACAACAAACTTTCTTTGATTTTCATGTAAGTATAGTGGATCAACATGATGCGCACGATTCTATTGCAGGCGGATTATTGCGCTCAGTCGAATCGATCCCAGTGCGAACTAGAGAATTGTTGTTGTTATAGTGGCACAATGATTCTGGACACGATTCACATCTGTGCAAACTCGCAATAAAATCCATCATCTCGGCTTACAATGAACAGAAACGTACGTCTCGCAAAGCGCGAACGGCGTACGTGAGCACTAAACGTTTTTTATCTCTGCGTCATCTTTTTACTTCCACTCACAGGTTCTGGAGGCCGAACCGTCTGCGGATTCTCTTCAATTTTTTATCAGCTTGCTTTGATTTTAATATGTAACAGATTATTTATATTTCGCCTGTCGAGCAACTCTTACTGTATATTATACAATAATTTTTATATCTCATTTTAACCCCTCTCTTTCTCTCTCTCTCTCTTTTTCTCTCTCTCTCTCATACACATCCCATCCCACTAATGTCCTTCTATTCTGCCGACACTTTCGATTAATTTGTTTCAGCAGGGTTTTCGCTGCAATTATTTGGCGTTGCATGAGTGGCCAATATGTGTGGCCTAATTGTGTGCGCGCACGGAGCAGCTGTCATTAGAAAGAAAAGAAAAAGAAAAGCAAACAGAGAGATCACTTGTTGTGTCGTGTAGGCCATCAGAAGTGTTTTCCATTCGTTTTACACATAGTTGATAGATTAAAAGCGAATAACTAAAGCAAAAGTCGCATCACTAATCGGAGAGTAATCGTATGCGGTTCTCTTGTGAGACAATAATCAAGAATTTCGTTTTTTATCTTGTGAAATTGATATTTTACATTTTACACGATTGATTGGACACACTTACGCCGCTACTTATTTTCTAACAACCTCATTTTTTTTTTTTTTTCGGTACCTTCAGCATTCATTCATACTTTAATGATCACAGTTTGATACGATACTAATCGAGATACTGCCGGTGAACTACAGTTCGGAATTGCAAGCTACTGTAAAGGTTCCGAGTACAATTTGAAAATATGTATACTTGAGAATTCATTGCACCGCGTAGTCGATTGTCGCGTGATACTGTGTACTCTTGATACTTTACTTCTCCTTCTTGAATCGTGCCTATTGACGTCTCTACATATCTGTATCCGGAAATTGATTGATTCAGATGTAGTGAGAAGATGGCTGCTCCACAGCACATACACTCCACGCACAATACCACACTACAGTCTAACCGCAGTTTCAATCAAAGAGCAATGTCGAGCGAGCCAGCTTACACTAATGATGACGAAATTGACAATAAAAAAAATGTGTTCCTTTATTTTCTGCCACGTATACAGATGCCTAAATTATATGATACTTAATTAACAGGTGTAATAGCAGACGCTGAGAAAGAGAAGGGGAAGTTAGCGAAGGAAGGGTGGTCGGTGGTTTATGATGATGATGATGCGCGGGACAGTAAAGAGGCGCGGGGTGCGGTAGGACAGACGTTAATTAACGTACACTTAGATAGAACGGCCGCAGAACCGGAAGGTATCGTTCCGAAAGCGGACGCCGAGCCGAAGGGCGCGGTTGCGAAAGCGGTCGCCGAGCAAATCCCGTCTGTTGAGCCGCCGATGGTTCGGCAGTACCGCGACGTTAAGCCGGAACCCAAGGTTAGCACTTCGAAAGTCGTAGTTTCCGTGAGCGATCCGAAAATAGGTGAAAAGATTACGACGAAGACCACGGTGGTCAAGCAGTTCGATCAGACGCCGGCTAAGGTAATCGCGAAGGAGACCGTGGTAGTTTCCCCCGATAAAAAAGACGTCGTTAGCGAGAAGGAGAAACTTTCCAAGGAGGGCAAGGAGGTCGACGAGAAGTTGTTGACATCCGCGGACGCGGGTCTCGCGAAAAAACCCAAGGTTGAGGCTACACGAATCGATGAAAAGCTCGACGTGAAGGTTCCTGCAGATAAGGATAAGGACAAGAAGAAGGAGAAAGAGAAGGATAAGGTTGCAGTGCAGGTTGACAGTGCACAAGCCGATCAGAAGAAGCCAGATTCGAAAGCTCCTGCAGACAAGAAGAAGGATAAGGAGAAAGAGAAGGACAAGGAGAAGGAGAAGGATAAGGAGAAAGAAAAGGACAAGGAAAAAGAGAAAGATAAGGAGAAAGATAAGGATGCAAAGCAGGTAAAAACGTCGGCTTACGAAGACGTTTACAATGTGCAGCATCCGCCAGGCAGCACCGAAGAGAAAGCAGATGACGAGGCGAAGAAGTCGAAGGACAGAGGCAGCGGAATATTCTCGGGTATATTTAAGGGCGCTAAATTGAAGAAGAGTAAGAAAAGCTCGAAGGACACGTCCTTTGACAGCGGTGACGAAGAGCCGAAGGCCGCTGCAATGAAGGCTCCTGAACAACAGACGGAACAGCCTTCCGACAAGATAACGGATATCTATTTCGACAGCAAGCTTCCAGAGATCATGGTCGCACCCAACGTGAAATCGGCCACCTTGGAGTTCCTGGATGACTCCAGACGAGTTGCCGCGGGTATGCACGTGCCTTACGAAGGTCCAGGTAAAACGGAGGATGTCATCAAAGAGGAGAAGAAAGCAGAGGAGGATAAAAAAGTTGAATCCACCGAAGGCGATGATGATGGCAAAGACAAGACGGGCTTCTTCTCGAGTCTGTTCAAGAGCAAGTCCAAAAAGGACGAGATCGCAGACGGGACAGTCATACCCGTGATCCACGTGGAGAAGCCGAAGGAAACCGCGGAGCAGATCGCAAAGAAGGAGAAGAAAAAGTTGGCGGCGCTCGCGAAGGAGAGTGAAGAGCTGGAGCAACAGCTGAAGGAGAAGGCGAAAGATGAGACAGTTAAAGTTACCGAGGTAACGTTACCAAGTGTGCCTGCCGAGAAAGAGATCGAGAAAGCCGTGAAGAACGGTACAAAGGTTGTAGAAGACGCAAAGAGCAAGATCGCCGCGGACGAGCAGCCGCGCGGCAAAGACGACGAGAAGGGCGAAGATCAAGTGAAGGAGAAGGGCGGCTTCTTCGGCATCTTCAAGAGCCCGAAATCAAAGGAAAAACGACTCGCCAAATCGAAGGAGACGTCTCTCGACAGCGGCGACGAAGAAATCCGAGTTGTCACGGAGAAACTCTTGGACGACACTCAGAAGGTCGCCGACGTTAGTATCGTGCCAGTTGCGTATAAGACTGACGGCACCAAGGTCATTCCGCAAGAAGAAGTGCGCACTTTTATCTCAGCCACCCACTACGATGCCGACACGCCCGCCGACAAGATCAGCAAGTCCTACGACGTGGTCCAAACAAAGACGACGATCGAGAGGACTGTCATTCACGAGGAAGTAAATGGGAAAACGGACGTCGATAAGGAGAAGGGTCGGAAGGAGGAGAAAGTAGTTGCTGAGAAAATCGTTTCGGAGGTGAAGCCGGAAACCACGGTGGAACCGAAAGTACCTGAAGCAGAGAAAGAGGCAACCGACGAGACCAGCAAGGAGAAGGGCGGCGGCTTCTTCGGCATGTTTAAGAGTCCGAAGCTGAAGAGCAAGAAGCGCAGCCGATCCCGAGAGCAGAGCTCCTCGAAGGAAACCTCATTCGACAGCGGAGACGAGGAAGTCCGTTTAGCAACGGCGAAGCTGCTGGAGGACACGAGACAGTTGGCAGACAGCATGCAGCATCCGGTTGAAGAGAAGATCCCGGAGCAAGAGGTTTCTGCGCTCGTGAAAACCGCTGTCGAACAAATAAAAAAGGAGGAGATGAAGAAGTCCAGCATTCCTGAGGACGAAGTGGCCGAGAAGGAGAAAGGAAGCGGCATCTTTGGGATATTCAGAAGCCCCAAACAGGCGAGGAGCTCCAGAAGCAGATCTAAGGAGAAGACTCCGTCGCTTGAGTTACCGGACAGTGGCCAGGAGGACTCGCGGGATGTAACAGCAAAGTTCCTGGAAGACTCGCGCACCGGATTGACAGATCTGGAGCAGCCAAAACCTGACAAGGATGACAAATTGACAACTGAGATAGAAGATGTCGGGAAAGCCATCAAAGACGGCAAAGACGCAGTCGCCAAGAAAGTAGACGAGAAGACGTCGGATGTCGCCGACTCCGCCGAGGCTGTGAAGGACAAGGCAAGTAAGGAGACGAAGAAATTGAAGGAGAAGGGATCGGGTTTCTTGTCGGGAATCTTTAAGGGCACGAAACATGCTGTGGAGGGTATGACGGACGACGTCAAAGAGTTCTTAGACGAGACGAAGAAAGAAGCCGCTTTGGAAGAAGCACGAGCGAAAGAAGCGGCAGCAGCTGGTTTGAAGGACATGGAGCAGACGAAGGACGCCGTAGTAGCCGACATTAAAGATAGCGCTGATAAAGCTGCAGCAGACATCAAGGACATCAAGGATAAGACGGTGTCGGCAGTGAAAGAAAAGAAGGAGAAAGTAACAGAGAAGGCAACGGATCTCGCGAAAGCTGCCGCCGATAAAGTGGCAGCAGATGCGAAAAAAGTTGACGAAAAAGTCGAGGCAACTGCGAAGGACGCCGCGCAGGTCAGCAAAGACATCAAAGAAGCAGTTGTCGCAGAGGCAAAGGAAGACGCCAAAATTGTCAAGGAGAAATTATCATCAGCTGCTGAGACTACTGCGGAAACCTCAGTGAGTATAAAAGACAAAACTGTGAAAGAAGCGAAAAAGGCGAAAGAAAAAGGAAGCGGATTCTTCTCCGGCATATTCAAAGGCGCGAAACACGCCGTCGAAGATGCAACCGACGACGTAAAAGATTTCCTGGATGAAACGAAGAAGGAAGCTCAATTGGAAGAAGAACGCACCAAAGAAAAGGCCGCGGCAGGTCTCAAGAGCTTGCAGGATAAGAAGGACGCTGTCGTCAGTGGAGTTCAAGAGACAGCCGACAAAACTGTTGCAGATATTAAAGATGCCAAGGATAAGACAGTGTCTGCAGTTAAAGACAAGAAAGATAAAATCATAGAAGAAGTATCGAAGGATGCTCACAAAGTCGCCGACACCACAAAAGCAGCCGGCGAAAAAGTCGCAATGGAAACAAAGAAGATTGGTGAGAAAATCGGCACAGCTGTAGCGGATGTTACACAGGGTGTTAAAGATACTAAAGATGCAGCAATTAAAGAAATACAAAAAGAAAAAGAGGATACAAAATTGGCGAAAGAAAAACTAGAAGCAGGTGCTGAAGCCGTCGCGGAAACTATAGAAGGTGCAAAAGATAAAGCGGGCAAGGAAGCGAAGAAAGCTAAAGAGAAGACAAGTGGTTTCTTCTCCGGAATATTTAAAGGTGCGAAACACACTGTAGAAGATGCGACAGACGATGTCAAAGAATTTCTGGACGAGACTAAGAAGGAAGCTGCTCTAGAAGAGGAACGTGCTAAAGAAAAGGCTGCAGCGGGTCTCAAGGATTTGAAAGATAAGAAAGATGCTGTCGTCACGGGAGCCCAAGAAGTTGCAGGAAAGGTGGCTGCTGATGTAAAAGATGTCAAGGATAAAGCAGCATCTGCTGTGAAAGACAAGAAGGATAAAGTTGTGGAAGAAGTTTCGAAAGATGCCCAGGAAGTCGCCGATACCACGAAGGCAATCGCTGAAAAAGTTACGACAGAATCAAAAAAGGTTAGTGACAAAATAGGATCAGTTGCGGCAGATGTCGCCCAAGGTGTTAAGGACGTCAAGGATGCAGCAGTAAAAGAAGTGAAAGAAGACACAAAAATGGCGAAGGAGAAATTGGCAGCAGAAGCTGAGGCTGTAGCGGAAACCGTAGATGAAGCGAAAGAAAAGGCGACCAAAGAAGCCAAAAAAGCTAAAGAGAAGACCAGTGGTTTCTTCTCCGGAATCTTCAAAGGCGCAAAACACGCAGTGGAAGATGTAACCGACGACGTCAAGGAATTCGTGGACGACACGAAGAAAGAAGCTACAATGGAAGGAGAGCGTGCCAAGGAGACCGCAGACAAAGCTGTTGCTGACGTTAAGGATGTAAAGGATAAGGCAGCTTCTACAATCAAAGACAAAAAGGACAAGATTGTGGAAGAAGTTTCGAAAGATGCTCAAAAAGTTGCTGACACCACGAAAGCAGTTGGGGAAAAAACAGGGGAAGAAACCAAGATAATCGGTGAGAAAATCAGCATAACAGCTGCAGATGTAGCACAGGGAGCTAAGGATACCAAAGATGCAGCGGTTAAAGAAGTGAAGGAAGACACAAAATTGGTTAAGGAAAAATTGGCAGCAGGAGCTGAGGCTGTAGCAGAAACCGTAGATGGAGCGAAAGAAAAGGCGACCAAAGAAGCAAAGAAAACTAAAGAGAAGACCAGTGGTTTCTTCTCCGGAATCTTCAAAGGCGCAAAACACGCAGTGGAAGACGTAACCGACGACGTCAAGGAATTCGTGGACGATACGAAGAAAGAAGCTACAATGGAAGGAGAGCGTGCCAAGGAGACCGCAGACAAAGCTGTTGCTGACGTTAAGGATGCAAAGGATAAGGCAGCTTCTACAATCAAAGACAAAAAGGACAAGATTGTGGAAGAAGTCTCGAAAGATGCTCAAAAAGTTGCTGACACCACGAAAGCAATTGGGGAAAAAACAGGGGAAGAAACCAAGATAATCGGTGAGAAAATCAGCATAACAGCTGCAGATGTAGCACAGGGAGCTAAGGATACCAAAGATGCAGCAGTTAAAGAAGTGAAGGAAGACACAAAATTGGTTAAGGAAAAATTGGCAGCAGGAGCTGAGGCTGTTGTAGAAACCGCGGAGGGAGCGAAAGAAAAGGCAACCAAGGAAGCAAAGAAAGCTAAAGAGAAGACCAGTGGTTTCTTCTCTGGAATCTTCAAAGGCGCAAAACACGCAGTGGAAGACGTAACCGACGACGTCAAGGAATTCGTGGACGACACGAAGAAAGAAGCTACAATGGAAGGAGAGCGTGCCAAGGAAACCGCAGACAAAACTGTTGCTGACGTTAAGGATGCAAAGGATAAAGCAGCTTCTACAATCAAAGACAAAAAGGATAAGATTGTGGAAGAAGTCTCGAAAGATGCTCAAAAAGTTGCCGGCACCACGAAAGTGGTTGGGGAAAAAATAGGGGAAGAAGCCAAGATGATCGGTGAGAAAATCAGCACAACTGCTGCAGATGTAGGACAGGTAGCTAAAGATACCAAAGATGCAGTGGTTAAAGAAGTAAAGGAAGACACAAAATTGGTTAAGGAAAAATTGGCAGCAGGAGCTGAGACCGTCGCGGAATCTGCGGAGGCTGCCAAAGATAAGGCTGGTAAAGAAGCAAAGAAGGTTAAGGAGAAAACAGGTGGTTTCTTCTCCGGTATATTTAAAGGAGCTAAACACGCCGTCGAAGACGTAACTGGCGATGCCAAGGAATTTGTGGACGAGACGAAGAAGGAAGCTGCACTGGAAGGAGAGCATGCTAAAGAGAAAGTCGCTATTGGAGTCAAGGACTTAAAGGATAAAAAAGATACCGTCGTGAGCGGAGCTCAAGAAGCTGCAGAAAAAGTTGCAGCTGATGTGAAAGATGTTAAGGATAAAGCAGTATCTGCCGTAAAAGACAAGAAAGATAAAGTCGTAGAAGAAGTTTCGAGAGATGCCCAAATAGCTGTTGCTACCACAAAAGCAGCCGGTGAGAAGGTTGCAACAGAAACAAAGAAAGTTGGTGAAAAAATAGGATTAGCTGCAGCAGACGTCGCGCAAGGCGTTAAGGACGCTAAGGATGCAGCGGTTAAAGAAGTGAGGGAAGATACTAAATTGGCGAAAGAGAAATTAGCCACTGGTGTTGAAGTTGTCACAGAAACCACGGAAGGAGTAAAAGAGAAGGCCACAAAAGAAGCGAAGAAAGCCAAAGAGAAAACCGGTGGTTTCTTCTCTGGAATATTCAAAGGAGCCAAACACGCCGTGGAGGACGCTGCGAGCGACGTAAAAGAATTTGTGGACGAGACAAAGAAAGAAGCTGCATTGGAAGAAGAGCGTGCTAAGGAGAAAGTCGCTGCTGGGGTTAAGGACTTGAAGGATAAAAAGGATGCTGTTGTGAGCGGAGTTCAAGATGCCGCAGACAAAACCGCCGCCGACGTGAAAGACGCCAAGGATAAAACAGTTTCTGCAGTTAAAGACAAGAAAGATAAAATTGCAGAAGAAGTCTCAAAGGGTGCTGAGAAAGTAGTCGACACCACGAAAGCAGTCGGCGAGAAAGTAGCTGCGACTGCTGCGGATGTAGCACAAGGAGTTAAAGATACTAAGGAAGCAGCTGTTAAAGAGATCAAAGAAGACACGAAATTGGCAAAGGAGAAATTGGCGGTTGGTGCGGATGCTGTTGTGGAAGCAGCCGATACCGCCAAGGATAAGGCGAAGAAAGCCAAGGAGAAAGGATCTGGCTTCTTTTCTGGCATATTTAAGGGCGCGAAACATGCCGCGGAAGATGTAACGGAAGACGTCAAGGAACACGTGAGCGATGCTAAGAAGGAAGCTGCAGAAGGATTAGAGGGTTTGAAACGCAAGAAAGACGATGCAGTAGACAGTGCCAAGGACATTGCGGATAAGACCATCGAGGGTGTAAAGGACGCCAAAGACAAGACCGTTTCAGCCGCGAAAGATACGAAGGACAAAATCACGGACACAGTCGCTAAAGACGCAGAAAAAGTAACAAGCACGTTGAAGGCAACCACTGACGATGTGGCTACGAAGATGAAGGAAGTTAAACAAAAAGCGGAAACCACGGCGGCGGACGTCGGACGTGGTGTAAAAGATGCCAAGGATGCGGTTGTCACAGAGGCGAAACACGACGTCAAGGTGGCGAAAGAAAAATTGGCTGCTGGAGTTGAATCCGTTGCGGATACAGCGGAGGCTGCCAAGGACAAGACAACTAAAGAAGCGAAAAAAGCCAAGGAGAAGACCAGTAGCTTCCTCTCGGGAATATTTAAGGGATCGAAGCACTCCGTGGATAGCACAGCGGAAGATGTGAAGGAGTTCTTGGAAGAAACCAGAAAGGAAGCAGCATTGGAGCAAGCGCGCGCTAAGGAGGCAGCAGAAGCCGAACTAAAAGACCTGGAACAAAAAAAGGATAGCATCGTGACTGAGGCGAAAGAAGCGAAAGATCGTGTGGCTGAGAAAATAACCGAACAAGTTGGCAAAGCTGCTGACGCGACTAAAGCAGTGGGTGACAAAGCAGTTGCTGATACAAAACGAGTTGCCGGCGATATCGCGCAAGGTGTCGCAGACACCAAAGACAGTGTGACGAAAGAACTGAAGGAGGACGTGCAGAGATCGAAAGACAAAATTAAAGCAGGCGGCGATGCAGTGATGGATAGCGCGGTAGCTACGAAGGACAAAGCAGCGAAAGAAGCAAAAAAAGTTAAAGAAAAAGGTAGTGGTTTTCTTTCGGGAATATTTAAAAGCGCAAAACATACCGCGGAAGAAGTGTCCGACGATGTGAAAGAATTCGTAGACGAAACGAAAAAGGAAGCTACAGCGGAGGAAGAACGCGCCAAGAAGAAAGCCGCCGCAGGCCTCAAAGATTTGAAAGATAAAAAAGACGCTGCCGTTGCAGGAGTGCAAGAAGCTGCAGAAAAAGTTACAACTGATGTGAAAGATGTCAAGGATAAAGTAATATCTGTCGTAAAAGACAAGAAGGACAAAGTTGTAGAAGAAGTTTCGAAGGACGCACAGAAAGTTACTGATACTACGAAAGCAGCCGGAGAGAAAGTGGCAACGGAAACCAAGAAGATTGGTGAAAAAATAGATTCAGCTGTAGCAGTCGTTGCGCAAGAGGTCAAGGACACCAAAGATGCGACGTTAAAGGAAGTAAAAGAGGACACAAAATTGGCGAAGGAAAAATTAGCAGCAGGAGCTGAGACTGTTGCGGAAACTGCAGACAGTGCAAAGGATAAAGCCACCAAAGAAGCGAAGAAAGCTAAAGAGAAGACTAGTGGTTTCTTCTCCGGAATCTTTAAAAGCGCAAAACACTCTGTGGAAGACACAACTGACGACGTTAAGGAATTCGTAGACGAGACAAAGAAAGAAGTTGCACTGGAAGGAGAACGTATCAAAGAGAAGGTTGCTGCTGGAGTCAAGGATTTGAAAGAGAAAAAAGATGCCGTCGTGAGCGGAGTTCATGAAACCGCGGACAAAGCTGTTGCCGACGTGAAAGATGCAAAGGATAAAGCAGCTTCTACAATCAGAGACAAGAAGGACAAGATGGTAGAAGGAGTCTCGAAAGATGCCCAGAAAGTTGCTGATACCACAAAAGCGGTTGGAGAAAAAATAGGGGAAGAAGCCAAGATGATCGGTGAGAAAATCAGCACAACTGCTGCAGATTTAGCACAGGGAGCTAAAGATACCAAGGATGCAGCGGTTAAAGAAGTGAAAGAAGACACAAAATTGGTTAAGGAAAAATTGGCAGCAGGAGCTGAGACTGTCGCGGAAACTGCAGACAGTGCGAAGGATAAAACCACCAAAGAAGCGAAGAAAGCTAAAGAAAAGACCAGTGGTTTCTTCTCTGGAATATTCAAGGGCGCGAAACACGCCGTGGAAGACGCAACCGATGATGTCAAAGAATTTTTGGACGAGACGAAGAAGGAAGCTCAATTGGAAGAAGAACGTGCCAAAGAAAAGGTCGCGACAGGACTCAAAGACTTAAAGGATAAGAAAGATGCTGTTGTGAGCGGAGTTCAAGATGCCGCAGAAAAAGCCACCACCGACGTAAAAGACGCCAAGGATAAAACAGTATCTGCCGTAAAAGATAAAAAGGATAAAATTGTAGAGGAAGTATCTAAGGATGTCCAGAAAGTCGCCGACACCACGAAGGCGGCTGGCGAGAAAGTAGCCGAAGAAACGAAGAAGATTGGTGAAAAAATCAGCGCAACTACTGCGGATGTAGCACAAAGTGCCAAAGATACCAAGGATGCAGCGGTTAAAGAAGTGAAAGAAGACACAAAATTGGTTAAGGAAAAATTGGCAGCAGGAGCTGAAGTTGTCGCGGAATCTGTGGAAGCTGCTAAAGATAAGACAGGTAAAGAAGCGAAAAAGGCCAAGGAGAAGACAGGTGGTTTCTTTTCCGGTATATTCAAAGGAGCTAAACACGCCGTCGAAGATACAACGGATGACGTAAAAGAATTTGTAGACGAGACGAAGAAGGAAGCTGCGTTGGAAGAAGAGCGTGCTAAAGAAAAAGCTGCTGCGGGTCTCAAAGATTTGAAGGATAAAACGGACGCTGTTGTTAGTGATATTCAGGAATCTGCCGAAAAAGCCGTTGCAGATGTCAAAGATGCAAAAGACAAGGCAGCTTCTTCCATCAAAGAGAAGAAAGACAAGATAGTGGAAGAAGTCTCGAAGGATGTTCAAACAATTGCGGACACCACGAAAACAGTCGGTGAGAAAGTTGCGATAGGAACTAAGAAAGTCGGGGAAAAAATAGAATCAGCTGCAGCGGACGTCACGCAAGGTGTTAAAGACGCTAAGGATGCGTCAGTAAAGGAAGTCAAGAAAGATACAAAATTGGCGAAGGAGAAATTGGCAGCAGGAGTTGAGGATGTTGTGGAAACAGCGGAGGGAGCGAAAGAAAAGGCAACCAAAGAAGCGAAGAAAGCTAAAGAAAAGACCAGTGGATTTTTCTCCGGAATATTTAAGGGCGCGAAACACGCCGTGGAAGACGCAACCGACGATGTTAAAGAATTTTTGGATGAAACGAAAAAAGAAGCTCAATTGGAAGAACAGCGGACCAAAGAAAATGCCGCCGAGAGTCTCAAGGATTTGAAAGACAAGAAAGATAGTGTCGTTGCTGGAGCTGAAGAAACTGCAGAAAAAGTTGTTGCTGATGTGAAAGATGCAAAAGATAAAACAGTTGCCGCTGTCAAAGATAAGAAAGACAAAGTTGTAGAGGAAGTCTCTAAAGATACCCGGAAAATAGTTGACTCCACAAAAGCAACCGGTGAGAAAGTGGTGACAGAAACGAAGAAAATCGGCGAAAAAATAGAGTCCACTACTGCAGATGTCACTCAAGGAATCAAGGATGCCAAGGATGCGGCAGTTAAGGAAGTGAAAGAAGATACAAAAGTTGTGAAAGAGAAATTAGCGGCGAGCGCCGATGTTGTTGTGGAAGCTGCTGACAGTGCAAAGGACAAGGCGAAAAAGGCTAAAGAGAAAGGAAGTGGCTTTTTCTCGGGCATATTCAAAGGCGCGAAGCACACTGTAGAAGATGTAGCTGATGAGGCGAAGGAACTCGCAGACGATGTCAAGAAAGGAGCAATTTCAGAAAGTGAACGTGTCAAAGACGCGGCGGAATCCGGTCTGAAAGATTTGAAGGATAAGAAAGACGCTGCGATCAGTAGTGTGAAGAAAGCGGAGGACGAAACTAAAGCAGCCATGAAGGACGCGTCGGATAAAGTGGCAGAAAAATTATCTGATGGTGTCCACAAGGCTGCCGACGGCGTTAAAGACGCGAGTGATAAGTTGGCGACCGATGTAAAAGAGGCGGGCGAGAAGGCGAAGTCAGCCGGACGAGATATTGTAGAAAGTATCAAGGATACGAAAGATGCGATTGCGAAGGAAGTTAAAGAGGACACGCAGGCAGCTAAAGAGAAGTTAACGGACAGTGCGGAAGTCGTCGCGAGCAAGGCGGAAGCGGCGAAGGATAAGGTTGCCAAAGAAGCGAAGAAAGCGAAAGACAAAGGTAGCGGTTTCTTTTCGGGAATGTTTAAGGGTGCGAAGCAGAGTGCCGAGAGCGCGAGCGACGAGGCCAATAAATTCTTGGACGAAATGCGAAAAGACGCAACGTTGGAGCAGGAACGCGTGAAGGAGGCCGCGGCGGAAGGCTTGAAGGACCTGGAGCACAAGAAGGATACTGCTGTCAGTGGTGTAAAGGACACGGCCGATCGAGCTGTTGCTGACGTAAAGGATGCCAAGGACAAGATGGTTGCAGCTGCGAAAGATACGAAGGAGAAAATCGCAGAGAAAGTATCCGAAGATCTCGAGAAGGCTACTGATGCGACAAAAGCCGCTAAGGCTAAAGTGGCATCAGAAGCGAAGGAAGTTGGTGAGAAGATAGATTCAACAGTACATGACATCACGCAAGGAGTCGCGGATGTTAAAGACGCAGCTGTTAAGGAAGTTCGAGACGATGCGAAGATGGCGAAAGAGAAAGTGGCAGCTGGCATTGAAGCTGTAACCGAGGGTGCTCATACTGCAAAGGACAAAGCCAGCAAGGAAGCGAAGAAAGCAAAGGAAAAGGGATCTGGCTTCTTATCGGGCATTTTCAAAGGCGCAAAACACGCCGTGGAGGATGCAACTGACGACGTCAAAGAGTTTTTGGACGAAACAAAGAAAGAAACTCAGTTGGAAGAACAGCGGGCTAAGGAAAAGGTCGCCGCAGGACTCAAAGATTTGAAAGAAAAGAAGGACGTTGCCATTAGCGACGTTCAAGAAGCTGCCGACAAAGCCGTTGCAGATGCGAAAGATGCTAAAGATAAGGCAGCTTCTATCATCAAAGACAAGAAAGATAAAATTGCGGAAGAAGTTTCCAAGGATGCCCAGAAAGTCGTCGATACTACGAAGGCAGCTGGTGAAAAAGTAGCGGAAGAAACGAAGAAGATCGGTGAGAAAATCAGCGCAACTGTCACGGATGTGGCACAGGAAGCTAAAGATACCAAGGATACAGCGGTCAAAGAAGTGAAAGAAGATATAAAATTAACTAAAGAGAAATTGGCAGTTGGAGTTGAGGCTGTAACTGACGGTGTCGAAGCTGTTAAAGACAAAGCGACGAAAGAAGCGAAGAAAACCAAAGAAAAAGGATCCGGCTTTTTATCTGGCATATTTAAAGGCGCGAAACACACCGTAGAAGAAGCGACCGACGACGTGAAAGAATTCTTGGATGAAACGAAGAAAGAAGCTCAGTTAGAAGAACAACGCGTCAAAGAAAAGGCTGCGACAGGTCTTAAAGACTTGAAGGATAAAAAGGATGCTGTTGTAACCGAAACTCAGAAAGCCGCAGAGAAGGTTGCAGCTGATATGAAGGATGCCAAGGATAAGACAGTCTCTACAGTGAAGGACAAGAAGGACGAAATTGCAGAAAAAGTTTCGAAAGATGCTCAGAAAGTCGCCGACATCACTGGAGCAGCCGGTGAGAAAGTCGCGACTGAATCGAAGAAGATCGGGGAGAAGATCGACGCAACTGCAGTGGATGTTGCGCAGAGTGCTAAGGACGTAAAGGATGCAGCGATGAAAGAAATTAAAGAAGATACGAAGATAGTAAAGGAAAAATTGGCAGCTGGATCCGCGACTGTAGTGGATAGTGCCGAGGCAGCTAAGGACCAGGCGACTAAAGAAGCGAAAATAGCTAAGGAAAAGGGTTCCGGCTTTCTGTCAGGCATAGTAAAAGGCGCGAAACACGCTGTGGAAAGCGCGAAGGGCGACGTCAAGGAGTTCCTGGATGAAACAAAGCACGAGGCGGAGTTGGAGGAAGCTCGTGCTAAGGAGACAGCAGCAGCTGGATTAAAGGAGCTGGAACATAAGAAGGACACTGTTGTTAGCGGCGCAAAAGATGCAGCTGATCGAACTGTCGCCGGAGTGAAAGATGCCAAAGAGAAAACAGTGACTGCTGCGAAAGACACGAAGGATAAGATCACCGAGAAAGTGTCCGAACAGCTGGACAAAGCTGCTGACACAGCCAAGGCAGCTAAAGACAAGGTGACGTCAGACGCGAAGGAAATCGGTGAGATGATGGATTCCACGACGCGCGGCATCGCGCAGAGAGCTGCTGACGCTAAGGGCGCAGCAATTAAGGAAATTCAGGATGATGCGAAGATGGTGAAGGATAAAATGGCAACCGGTGTCGAAGTTGTAGCCGACGGTGCCGAAGTCGCTAAAGACAAAGCGACAAAGGAGGCGAAGAAAGCTAAAGAAAAAGGTTCTGGCTTCCTGTCGGGCATAGTCAAGGGCGCGAAACATGCCGTAGAAAGCGCCAAAGGTGATGTCAAGGAGTTCTTAGACGAAACGAAGCACGAAGCTGAACTGGAAGAAGCTCGTGCCAAAGAAGCAGTAGCGACCGGATTGAAGGAGCTGAGGGACAAAAAGGACAGCGTGGCGACTGACATGAAGGACGCCGAGGATAAAATAGTCAAAGAAGCGAGCAAGACTGTAGACACGACGAAGGCAACGGTGGAGAAGTTGGCGAGCGAAACCAAGAAGGTCGGCCAGAAAATAGAATCTAAAGCGACAGATATTGCGCACGACATAAAAGACACCAAGGAGAGTCTCAGCAAGGAGATTAAAGAAGACACGAAGGCGGTGAAGGACAAATTAACGATCAGCGCAGATGCCGTCACAGATGGTGTTAAAGCTACTAAGGACCAGCTGGCAAAGGATGCCAAGAAGGTAACAGATAAAGGCTCGGATCTCCTGTCTGGAGTAATGCAAAGTGCAAAGCAGACGAAGCAAGACATTACCGGCGACGTGAAGGACTTCTTGGAGATGACAAAACAAGAAGCTGCCGCTGAAGAGGCTCTAGCTAGAGAAGCTGCAGCGACGGGATTGAAGGAACTCAAGCAAGCGAAGGATAAAGCTGTTGATGAAGTTAAATCCACGACGGCTAAAGCTGCGAAGAGTACGAAGGATGTCAAGGAGAAGAGCGTATCCAGCGTAAGGGACGTCAAGGACAAGACCATTTCTGGGATAAAGAGTGCAACTGGCAAAGTAGTTGGCGAAATTTCCGACGCTACGAGGACGGCAGGCGAGAAAGCCAAAGCCACCGGTCAAGACGCGACGCAGAGAGCGAAACGTACCAAGGACGCCGTCGTAAAGGAGGTGAAGGACGACGCGCGAGCCGTCAAAGAAAAATTGGCAGCTGGAGCGAGCGCTGTCGCTGACAGCGCAGACGCCGCCAAGGACAAGACCACGAAGGAAGCCAAGAAAGCGAAGCAGAAGGCTGGCGGATTCCTAACAGGCGTGGTGAAGAGCGCCAAACACGCAGTGGAGGGGGCGACCGACGACATGCGAGAGTTCCTGCAGGAGACTAAGCAAGAGGCAGTCGCGGAGGAAGCTCGCGCGAAGAGCGATGTCACTCATGCGAAAGGCAGAGCCGCCGTTAAATCGGCCAAGGACGACCTGAAGGCCAAGTCCAACGGCGCCATGAAAGACGTCAAAAAGAAGGTCGCCCCGAGAATTCCCAAGGTCGAGAGCGCGAGAACGAGATCGTCGTCGTCGTCATCGTCGTCTTCGGCGACGGACACGCGCGTAGGTAGTTATCGCGAGGTCGCGTCCGAGCGCATTCAGGGTGCGGTCATCCGCGGCCCCGAGGCCGCCATGCCGGAGAGGTCGACTCCCAGCGACGTAGAGCATTTATCTGAATCAGTTAGGGTTAAGAAAGTCTCTCGCATTCCACAAAAGATTAGTCCAGGGAAAGATACCGGCGGGGGGGAGGGCGGTCATGCGTCGACCGTCGCGTTAGACGATTCAGGATCGAGTTCAGGTTCGGTTTCGAGTAGATTAGAGACAGTATCTGTGGTAGGGCACCCCGAGCCTCACACACGGCACACCGTCACCACAGTCGTGACAAAGTCTGTGCGAACGACCCCACCACCACCCGGTCTCGCCGAGTTCAGTGACAGTAGAACCGAAGGTATCTTGCAATAATTGCGTTATCCATATCTCTCTCTTTCTATATATATATATATATATATACACATATATATATATATATATATATATATATATATATATATATATATATATATATA